GTCTTGCTGCCTCATTCAGGGCTGGTTTTGCCTCCTGTCCTGAAGCCCCCACCCTATCCCACGCCTGCAGCCTGAAGGAGTAGGTTTCTGCCACCAGTCCTTGCTGAAACAAGAATCCTCCCAGCTGTCCTCACAGGAGCCAGGCTCCCTGCCCAGCATTTGCAGCCCCCTTCCTGGATGCTGCTGTGGGCATTTGTAGTCTCCAGTGGAGTCCTGTTCCTATATGATGAAGACACGGGGCACATTGGAGCAGCCAATCTGGAACTGAGGACCATCACGTCTGCATGCAGCCTATTGGGGGGCTTTCTGTTTACCCAATCAAAGCACACTAACCATGTGCCAGGCACTGCATGGGCACTAGGGACACATCAGTGAGCAAGACATAGATGCCCTGCCCGGGGGAGTTCACATTCTAGTGGGAGAAGACTGACAACAAACATATGAGTAATTTCATGTGTTGAAAAATGAACAGTGCTATGGAAAAAGTAGACAGCAGGGTAAGGAGCTGGAGGGCTGGGGGTGGTTTGCATTAGGAAGGAGAAATTTGATCCAAGATTTGCAGGCATTGAGGACATCGGAGGTGTGAATTTCTGAAAGAAGAGCATTCACCACAAAAGGTATCTCATGAGTGCAAAAGCCCTAGGCGGGCAGCAAGTGTGGCTGACCAGGAGCCAGCAGGAGGCCATGTGGCAGGCAAAGATGAGAGGAGAAGAGGAATGGTAGATGAGGCAAGAGGAAGAGCAGGTGAGTCCTGTAGGGCCTGAGAGAGGCTTTTAGACCAGCTTGGAGCAGTGGAATAACAGGGCCTGTTTCAAAAGAATGGCTCTGACTGCTGTGCGAGGACAGACCTTAGGACAAGTTTAAGCAGAAAGACCCGCCAGAAAGCTAATCAATAATCCAAGGAAAAATGCTCACTCCTGCGGAGGGTAAACCTGCCTCTGTTCCTATAATATTGTAATTCGGGCTGTTGACTCCCATTATAACACTCAGGAGGCCTCAGCTGGTTCTGCCCTGGGTCCTGCCCCAGGGCAACCTCACATCTTCTCATTTCCTTCTCACACCCTTATGGTGTGGAGGCCTCATCAGCCTTTGCAGCAAAATCCACCCAAGAAGGAGCAGACTGCCAAGACCTTCCAGGTCATCCCCTTGGCTACAGAGTCTTTTTTTCCCCTTTTCTTTTCTTAAGGCAAGATTTCGCCTGAGGAATGTTTAAATCCACAATTGGTAAAGGGTTTCATACACCTGTCTCCTTAAGACCACTTCACGCCTGTGATGCCCTCCCTACCCCCTCTCCCCAGAAGCTACATGTGGACTGTTTGGCTCACCCATAAGCTTGCTTTCAAATGAGCCCCTGTGAACATTAACTCAAGTCAGTAAAACACCTTTGCAGGCAGTAAAACATATCCCTCTGAGGTCAGTAAACTGGGCAAGAAAGTCCAGTGGATGGTGCCTAAGGCCAGGAAGAACCAGACTAGGGCTCCATCCCCAGCCCAGTGGGCATGTCTGGCCCGCAGGCCACAGGTAAGCAGAGAGGAAGGTGGGGTCTAGAAGACCTGTCTGTCTCCCTTTTTCTCATCTCCATCACTTTTTTTTTTCTTTTCAATATGTTATTGTACCTGTTAAGGAAAATGAAATCTCTCACACCAATCCCAATTGGGTGCAGAATCAAAAAAAGTTGTGAAAATGATTTGTAAACATGAAAGCACTCTCTGAAATTAAGGTAGCATTGTTATTTGGGAAAACAGGCTTCAACGTTCTCCTTAGTGTTTAGAATTGCCATGTTGAACCTTCCAAACAATTAAATCCCACCAAGCGGTTTATATTGTCTTATTCTTATAATCTGCCCAGATTCCCACAGAACCCTTCCTGGGCAGAGGGTTAGCTCGTTTTCTACTCTCTGCAGGGAGCCTGGGTGGCCAAGCAGGCTGGACACTGGGCCAAAAGTAGAATACCAGCTCCGTAACCTGAGGCAAGTCACTTAACCATTTAGAGGTTCAGTTTTTTTCTTTTCTTTAAAATGTCCTACCTACTTCACAGGGTTTGGTAGATTTGGATGAGATAATCCATATGAAAATCATCTCTAAGTGAGGCAGTGAAATGCAAGGCCGGTCAGAGGCTGGCCCTTCTCCAGGTGGAAGCACAGTGTGATGTGCAGCAGGATTTCTTTCTCAACAATCTCAAGACCCAAGTGCACATAGAATGTAGATGTTGTAGATGTCTCTGCCTTTCCACCCTTAACATTTTGTAACCGGCTTGTTTAGAAACACAAGGAAACCAGGTTGCTGGATCATACTGGTCATCAAGGCCTTTGACAATGAGAAGCACCATATCCCAGGTCACTGTATTTGCAATAGTGAGTGAATTCTGTAGATTAGCAGAAAGTGAGAGAAAGGGGAGAACCTCAATGAGTAAATCCGAAATAAACAGCGTTACAGAATGACAGCTATGTGAGGTGTTACTGGGTTTGGTTGTATAGAAAGGCCTGGCCCACTGATTAGTGTGTTCACATGCATTGTACAGAGGAGTTGATTTTTCCTCCATCATAAGGTCCTTTCAGGGCTGGAGGTTTGGAGGACCAACACACTAGGATCTTGGAATACCTCTTCTTTGTCGCATTGACCCTAGAATGGCATCACTAAATCACTGGGGGTCAGAGTCACCCGGGTAGTTACTGGCCACTGCACTGGTTGAGGGATGTACACTGCTAAAACCCTACATTATAGATGGTCAAGTCTTAATAGATTAGGAGGCCCTCATGCTCTCAAAATAAAACCAAATGCCCTGGCCGGTTTGGCTCAGCGGTTGGAGCATTGGCCTGTGGATTAGAAAGTCCCGGATTTGGTTCCCACTAGGGGCACACACACACACAAAAAAAATGAGGAACAGAGAGGCATATCACAAAAGACAAGGTCAGGGAGCCCCATAGCCCTGGCTTCAGCCCTGGTTCCTGGATCTAGACACAAATGTCTTAGAATTGCTCAAGGCCCCTGATTACTGTTCTGTGAAAATGAGCTCGGCAGATGGATTAGGGTAAGCTTTAGATAGGACACTGTGTGCGGGCGCTTCAGGTGTATGCACAGCCAACGTCTGTTGAGTGTTTGTCTTGTGCCAAGCACTGTGCTGATCACTTTTAAATGGGTTATGTATTAATTCTCCAATAACTGTATGAGCTAATCCTGCCTTCGTTTATCAGAAGAGCCTGCACTGATAATAGCTCACCAAAGTCCTATTTTTCTTTAATAAAGATATGTCCTTTCAGTTTAGGATGCCCAAATATTCTTGGAAACATCTACATCTTCCTCAGGGGCCACATGGCCATGAAAGGATTTCCTCTGTGTGTGGAATTTCAGAGAGATTTCTCTCTTAGGTGTGTGATATCAGGTAGCACTTGCTCTGGCAATGAAGGAAGGTTTGATTTGCTAACAATTAACTTATTACAAGGTAAGTGCTTTACAGGTATTATATATCAATCCTCAAAACAACTCTATGAGATTGACTGTTATTATCTTCACTTTACAAATGAGGAGACCAGAGCACAAGAAAGTTAAGTGAAATGTCTAAAGTTTTACAGCCAATTCCTGGCAGGACTCAGGCACAGAGAGCTCTTCCTTGCTGTCTTTACCATGTCTACTGTGAAGGCAGTTGACAGAGGGGGCTTCTGTACTCCCTCCATTCTACCCACCAATGAGCCACAGGCCCCTACTGCACTGCTGCTAAAAGGCCTCAGAAGACGTGTCATGCACCTGAGTCATGGCTGCAAGTCATATCTCACGTGCCAGGTCTGCTGCATGGAGAGTAACGAAAAGACAACTGAAATAGGTCATCTTCTGCTTGTGACTTTTAACAGAGGAGTGATAACTAAATTGAAAGTATTTTTTTAACTAATTAATTTATTTTTGTTACAGATGTTTCTCCTTTTTCCCCCACTGATTCTCTCTCCCCCTCCCTCCTTGCCCTGACCCCACCATTGTTGTCCATGTTCATTGTTCACGCATACATGCATATAAGTTCTGTGGTTTCTCTCTCCCTCATTACCCCCTCTTCTGTGGATTGTCAGTCTGTACCCTACTTCCACGTCTCTGCAACTACCCCATTCCTCAAACTGTTATGGTCATTATATTCCACAAATAAGTGAGATCATATGATACTTGTCTTTCTCTGTTTGGCTTGTTTCGCTTAGAATAATACTTTCCAGGTCCCTCCATGTCGTCTAAAAGGATACGACATCTTTCTTTCTTACAGTTGCATAGTACTCCATTGTGTATATGTACCACAGCTTTTTTATCCATTCGTCTACTGATGGACATTTGGGTTGTTTCCAGATCTTAGCTATTGTAAATAGTGTTGCTACAAACATGGGGGTACATATATTCTTTCAGATTAGTGTTTCAGGCTTCTTAGTGTATATTCCTAGAGGTGGGATCACTGGGTCAAATGGGAGTTCAATTTTAAATTTTTTGAGGTAACACCATATTGTTTTCCATAGTGGCTGCACCAGTCTGCATTCCCACCAGCAGTGTACTAGAGTCCCTTTTTCTCCACACCCAAGCCAACACATGTTGTTTGATGTTTTGTTGATGGCGGCCCTTCTGACAGGTGTGAGGTGATACCTCATTGTTGTTTTAATTTGCATCTCTCTGATGATTAGTGATGTTGAGCATTTCTTCATATGTCTCTTAGCCATTGTATGTCCTGTTTGAAGAGGTGACTATTTAGTTCCTCTGCCCATTTTTTAATTGGGTTCTTTGTCTTCCTTTTGGTGAGTTGTATGAGCACTCTCTATATATTGGAAATTAACCCCTTATCTGATATGTCATTGGCAATGATGCTCTCCCATACAGTGGGCTGCCTTTCCATTTCGGTGGTTGTATCTTTTGCTGTGCAGAAGCTTTTGAGTTTGATGTAGTCCCATGTGTTCATTTTCTTTTTTGTTTCTGCTGCCTTAGGTGATGTATCAGTGAAAATTCTGCTGCGAATGATGTCTGAAATTTTGTTGCCTACAGTGTCTTCTAGGATTATTATGGATTCATGAGTCACATGTAAGTCTTTTATCCATTTTGAGTTTATTCTTGTGTATGGTGTAAGCTGATGATTTAGTTTCATTTTTTTTTTTTTTTTGCATGTAGCTGTCCATTTTTCCCAACACCATTTATTAAAGAGGCTGTCTTTACTCCACTGTATGCTCTTGCCACTTTTGTCAAATATTAATTGAGCATATTACCTTGGGTCCTTTTCTGGGTTTTCTGTTCTGTTCCACTGGTCTATATGCCTGTTCTTGTGCCAGTACCAGGCTGTTTTGATTACAGTGTTTTTGTAGTATAACCTGAAATCTGGTCCCTCCAACTTTGTTCTTCTTTTTCAAGATTGCTGTGGCTATTTGAGGTCTTTTTTGGTTCCATATGTACTTTTGAAATATTTGTTCTAGTTCTGTGAAGTATGTAATTGGTATTTTGATGGGGATTGCATTGAATGTATAGATTGCTTTGGGTAGGATGGACATTTTAATGATGTTAATTCTTCCAATCCATGAACAAGGTATATGCTTCCACTGTTTTATATCTTCCTCTATTTATTTTTTCAATGACCTGTAGTTTTCTGTGAATAAGTCCTTTATTTCTTTGGTTAAGTTTACTCCTAGGTACCTTAATTTTTTTGCTGCAATGGTAAACGGGATTGTTTTTTTTTTACTTTCTCTTTCTGTGAGTTCATCATTGGTGTATAAGAATGCTATTGATTTCTTGACGTTAATTTTGTATCCTGTTACTTTGCCAAATTCACTTATTAACTCTAGTAAATTTTTGATGGAGTCTTTGGGGTTTTCCATGTGTAGTATCATGTCATCTGCGAATAATGACAGTTTCACTTTCTACTTTTCGATTTGGATCCCTTTTATTTTTTCTTCCCGTCTGATTGCTGTGGCTAAGACTTCCAGAACTATGTTAAATAAGAGTGCCAAAAGTGGGCATCCTTGTCTTGTTCTTGTTCATAAGGGAAATGCTTTTAATTTTTGCTCATTGAGTATATTGTTGGCTGTAGGTCTTTCATATATGACCTTTATTATGTCAAGATATAATCCCTTTTTTCACAGATTGCTGAATGTGTTTATCAAAAATGGGTGCTGGATTTTGTTGATTGCTTTTCAGCATCTATTGATATGATCATGTGGTATTTATTCTTCATTTTATTTATGTAGTGTATCACATTTATTGATTTGGAAATATCGTACCAGCCTTGCATCCCTGGGATGAATCCCACTTGGTCATAGTGAATAATTTTTTTTGATATATTGCTGAATTCAATTTGCTAGTATCTTGTTCAGGATTTTGGCATCTATGTTCATCAGGGATATTGGTCTATAGTTCTCTTTCTTTGTAGTGTCTTTTTCTGATTTTGAAATTAGAATTATGCTGGCCTCATAAAATGAGTTTGGAAGTCTTCCTTCTTGAATTTTTTTAAGTAGTCTGAGGCAAATCGGTATTAGTTCTTTGAATGTTCGGTAAAATTCCTCGTGACGCCGACTGGGCCTGGGCTTTTGTTTGCTGGGAGATTCTTGATTACATCTTTAATTTCCTTAGTTGTTATTGGTCTGTTCAAGTTTTCAATCTCTTCCCGTCCAGTTTTGGGAGACTATGTGTTTCTAGAAATTTGTCCATTTTGCTTAGGTTGTCGAATTTGTTGCCGTATAATTGTTCATAATATCTGTTAACAATCCTTTGTATTTTTGTGTTGTCAGTTATTACTTCTCTTTGATTTCTGATTTTGTGTATTTGAGTTCTCTCTCTTTGTTTCTTGGTAAGTCTACCTAAGGGTCCATCAATCTTGTTTATCTTTTCAAAGAACCAGCTCTTTCTTTCATTGATCCTTTGAATTGTTTTTTGGTGTCCATGTCATTTATTTCTGCTCTGATCTTTACTATTTTTTTCCTTCTACTTGCTCTGGGGTTTTCTTTTTGTTTGCTTTCTAGTTCTTTAAGTTGTAAGGTTAGATAGTCTATTAGAAATTTTTCTTGCTTCTTGAGGTAGGCTTGTAGTGCTATGAACTTCCCTCTCAGAACTGCTTTTGCTGCATCCCATAGATTTTGTGTTGTTGTGTGTTCATTTTCATTGGTTTCCAGGAAGTTTTTTATTTCTTCCTTGGTCTCCATGGTAACCCATTCATTGTTCAATAACATGCTATTTAGCCTTCATGTTTTCAAATGTCTTTGCATTTTCTTGTTACAATTGATTTCTAGTTGCATGCCATGGTGATCTGAGAAGATGCTTGATATGATATGATTTCAATCTTCTTGAACTTGTAGAGACTTAGTTGGTGCCCTAACATGTGGTCTGTCTTTGAGAATGTCCCATGTGCACTTGAGTAGAATGTGAATTCTGTAGTTTTGGGGTGTAATTCTCTGTAGATATCTATTAAATCCATTTGATCTAGTGCTTCGTTTAGAATCTGTGTTTCCTTGTTAATTTTTTGTCTACAAGATCTATACAGGGATGTCAGCAGGGTATTGAAGTACCCTGCTATGATTGTATTGCTATTGATTTCTCCTTTGAAGTCCTCCAGAAGATTTTTAATATATGTTGGTGCTCCTACATTGGGTGCATATATGTTTACCAAGGTTATATCTTCCTGTTGGATAGATCCTCTCAATATTATGTAGTGGCCTTCTTTGTCTCTAGTTATGGCCTTCATTTTTAAATCTATTGTATCAGATATGAGTATTGCTACCCCAGCTTTCTTTTTCTTTCCATTTGCTTGAAAGATTTTTTTTCCATCCCTTCACTTTTAACCTATGTGAGTCTTTTGTTGTGAGGTGGGTTTCTTGTAAATAACACATATGTGAGTCATGATTTCTTATCCAGTCAGCTACTCTGTGTCTTTTTACCAGAGCATTTAAACCATTCACATTTAAGGTGATAATAGATATATACTTATTTATTACCATTTTTGTTTATTGTGGTTCCATTTTCCTTCCTATTTCTTCTACTAATTACAGCAGTCCTTTTAGTATATCTTGCAGTGCCAGTTTGGTGTTAATATATTCCCTTAGCCTTTTTTTTTTTTTTTTTTTTTGTCTGGAAAGCTCTTTATTTGACCTTCTATTTTGAGTGATACCCTTGCTGGGTAGAGTAGTCTTGGATTCAGATCCTTGTTTTTCATTACCTTGATTACTTCATGCCACTCCCTTCTGGCCTGTAGTGTTTCTGTTGAGAAGTCAGCTGAGAGCCTTATGGGGTTTCCTTTGTAGGTAAACTGTTGCTTCTCTCTTGGTGCTTTTAGGATATCTCTTTGTCTTTAATTTTTGGCAATTTGATTACTATGTGTTTTGGTGTGGGTCTGTGTGGGTTCTTCTTACTTGGGGATCTCTGCACTTCTTGAACTTGAATGACGTCTTCCTTCACCAAGTTAGGAAAGTTTTCTGTCACTGTTTCTTCAAATATATTCTCTAACCCTTGCCCATTTCCTTCCTTTTCCAGGACTCCTATGATGCAAATGTTATTAAGTTTCCAGTTGTCCCAGTTTTCCTTCTTTCTTTGTTTTTTGTTTTGTTTTGTTTTTTTAAAATCTTTATTGTTGAATGTATTACAGATGTTCCTCATTTTTCCCCCATTGACCCCCTCCTCCCCACTCCCGCACCCCTCCTGCCTTTTCCCACACTATTGTCTGTGTCCATTGGTTATGCATATAAGTTCTTTGGTTTATTTCTTCTCACCCTCAATTCCTTTCCCTTTGAGGTTTCTCAGTCTAGCAATGAATTTGTGCTTCTTAATCCCTTCACCTTTTTCACCCATTCCCCTACCCCCCTCCCATCTGGCAACCAACAAAATGTTCTCTGTATCTATGAGAATGTTTTTGTTCTGCCTGTTCATTTTGTCTGTAGATTCCATTGTTGTTAGATATGTATGCATTGCCATTTTGTTTGCTCATATATTTTATCTTTTTCTTCAAAAAGACCCTTCATCATTTCATACAATAACAGTTTGGTGGTGGTGAACTCCTTTAACTTTTTCTTGTCTGGGAAACTCTTTATATGGCCATCGATTCTAAAGGACAGCTTTGCAGGATAAAGTAATCGTGGTTGTAGGTTCTTGATTTTCATCACTCTGTATATTTCTTGTCACTCCCTTCTGGCCTGCAAAGTTTCTTTTGAGAAATCAGCTGACAGTCTAATGGGAACTCCCTTGTAGGTAACTAGCTGCCTTTCTCTTGCTGCTTTTAAGATTCTCTCTTTGTCTTGAACCTTTTGCATTTTGATGATGATGTGCCCTGGTGTGGGCCTCTTGGGGTTCATCTTGTTTGGGACTCTTTGTGTTTCCTGGATTTGTATGTCTGTTTCCTTCACCAAGTTAGGGAAGATTTCTGCCATTATTGTTTCAAACAGGTTTTCAATTTCTTGTTCTCTCTCTTCTCCTTCTGGCACCCCCACGATGTGAATGTTGGCACGCTTGAAGTTGTCCCAGAGGCTCCTTACACTGTCCTCATTTTTTTTTTAATTGTTTTTTTTCTTTTTGCTGTTCTGATTGGGCATTTTTTTGCTTCCTTATATTCTAAATCGATGGTTTGCTTCTTGGATTTATGTACTCTACTATTGAATCTGTGTAAATTACTCTTTATTTCAGTTAATACCTCCTTCATTTCTGACTGTGCATCCATCATTTCTGACTGGTCCTTTTTTATGCTCTTGAGGCCCTCACTAAGTTCACTGAGGTTCTCACTAAGTTCATTGAGCATCCTTATAAGCAGTATTTTGAACTCAGCATCTGTTAGATTGCTTATCTCCATTTTGCTTAGTTCTTCTCCTGGGGTTTTGTTCTGTTCTTTCATTTGGGACCTGTTTCTTTGTCTTCTCATTTTGGCTGACTCCCTGTGTTTGTTTCTGTGTATTACTTAATGAGAGGTATGGGGCTAGCTGAGACCAGATGCTGCTTATTTGAAAGAATTTAGGAAAACCTGAAGCAGGATCCAAGACAGGCCAATCCTATGGTTAAGCAACTGGCAACAGCTTGGGTGGGCCTGAAAGTTGGGTGAGATGGGGCCTCAGGGAGTC